CTAAAAGGTATCAAAAGTTACATCTTTATGTCTTCAAATTCACACACCACGCAATCTTTCTGCTGGGTTAAGGATTTTTATTATTTCAATCTCACAGCTTATAATGCTGCCACCGGAAATCCAACTCTGTCGAATGATGAACCGGCCTCCAGCAAGGGAAAAGGCCCCTTACGCTTTTCGGATCTCGATCACTTATATTGTAATTAATTTTTCGTTTTTTCAACAGTTACCTCATTCCGGAGTTCAACTTAACCAGAGAAAAGAAAGGAAATGGATGGAAGTGAGAGGAAAGTAAAAGAAATTAGTGTTCCCGAGTTTCATTAAAGGAAGGAAATGGAATGATCACTTTCCCTCCTAACTTTCCTTCAGATTTGGACGGATTTGGAGAGAAAGAACAAAATGTTTAACATTCCTTTCACTTCTCTCCGACTCGGGAACATGAAAGACAAATTTATTTTCCTTTCCTTTCTATTCTTTTCTCTCCTACTTTCTTTTCTCTTCTTTTCTTTTTCTTTGCTAAAACTCGGGAACGAGGCGTTAAACCCAAATCTGAAAGGTTGGTTTTTGTTTGAAAAGTTCACCATCATCCTCTTATTTCATTTGATTTGGGTTTTGTGTTGATTTTGTAATTTTCTAATAGATGAGAAGTCATTATTCTTGCTGTTAATGTGTCTTTAACAACCACATTATTCCTTTCTTGCAGGTTTTGGTATGATTAGAAGACGATAATCACTACAAAAATGAAGATGATTGAAGTAAGGTTTTAAGAAGTTAGCAATACTGATTACTCTTCTCTTTGTTTATTTATTCTTCTCTTTGCTGATTTATTCTGGGATTTTTCAAGTTTTTCATTTGTCTCTTTTAACAGGGAAAGTATGGAGGTAAGAACTTTAATGATATGCAAGTGTAATTTTAGATGTAGAGAGAGGGGAAGCATGTTAGATATACAACATGTATGAACATCATGAGTAAAATTCACACCCAAAAATGTTGGAATCATAAGTCCTCATTTCCCTCCACCCATGTCTTCCACCCACAATAAAGGAGGGGACACCAACAAGTTGGTTGGGTCTCATACTTATTAATATAGGATTGAAATGATTAAGTCCATCCTATATATTCAGTGAATTACCAAGAGGGTAATACACAACAAAACACAGCAACATACACAGACATATATATGTAATTGGTTTTGAGTTATATTTCCAATTTTAATCAAAGAGTTAGTTTGATATATTCTTCTGTGTTTATACAATTGATATACTACAATTGTTTATACAATTGCTATACCATACAATTGTCATACTAGAATTGGTGTGAATCTTGCTTGGTGGGCAAGCAAACAAGAAAGTCATTTCCATTAATGACGACGTACAAAGCAACACGACCATTGGAGCTAGTTCACGGTGATTTATGTGGTCCGATAACACCGTCAACGAAGGGTCAAAATCGATACATTTTCACACTAATTGACGATTTTTCACGGTATATGTGGATTTTTCTCTTAAAAGAGAAAAATGAGGCGTTTTTACACTTCAAAAAATTTAAAGCTTTGGCGGAGAATGAGCTCGAAAAGTCTTTAAAGGTGTTTCGAAGTGATCGAGGAGGTGAGTTTACTTCGCTTGAGTTTAATTCCTTTTGTGATATAAATGGAATCAAACGCCATCTTACCGCCCCATATTCACCACAACAAAACGGTATTGTGGAACGAAGAAACAGAACACTTATGGACATGACACGAAGTATCATGAAGGCGATGCATGTTCCAAACTACCTATAGGGAGAAGCGGTAAAACATTCCACAAACCTGATCAACCGTGTTTACACAAGAGTACTTGGTGATACAACTCCGTACGAGAAGTTGTATAAAAGAAAACCTAATTTGGAGAACGTACGCATCTTTGGGTGTTTAGCGTATGCAAAAGTTGAACCGGTAAACGTGAAAAAATTGGATGCAAGATCAAGACCATTGGTTCATCTTGGTTCTGAACCGGGTACAAAAGCCTATCGGTTATTTAACCCGGTTACACAAAAAATAATCGTAAGTCGAGACGTTATTTTTAATGAAACCAAAGGATGGAATTGGGTTAACGAAGCTACACCTGACAATGAAGAACCAGGATCATTCATAGTACCATGGGATTTACCGGAAGATAAGGCGAACAACAACCAAGGAAACGATGTAAACAACGAACCAATTGAACCAAACGAATCGGATCACGAGATTGAAGACGGAGGGGAGGTACAAGAAAATGAGCAACCAAGTCCGATCAACAACAACGTGAACAATGTTCAAAACCAAAGGCCCACAAGACAAAAGGTGCTTCCAATTCGATTACGAGATTATGTACTTTATGTTGATGACATTGAAGAACTTCTCCTAGCAACCAATGACGAGCCGGTATCGGTTGAAGAGGCGAAGAAAGAACCAGAGTGGGTCAAAGCCATGAATACAGAGATCAATTCGATCAATAAGAACAATACTTGGTCTCTCGTAAACAAGCCTATGGGGGTGAAGCCCATTGGACTCAAATGGGTGTTCAAGCTGAAGAAAAATGTAGATGGCACCATAAACAAACACAAGGCAAGATTGGTTGCTAAAGGGTACGTACAACAACCTGGTATTGACTTTCAAGAAGTATTTGCTCCGGTAGCTCGCATCAAAACCATACGGTTTCTCATTGCCTTAGCCGCTACCAATGAATGGGAGCTTCACCACTTGGATGTCAAGACGGCTTTCTTACATGGAGAGTTGAGAGAAACCGTCTATGTGTATCAACCGGAAGGCTACATAAGGAAAGGCGACGAGCACAAGGTGTACCGTCTTTCAAAAGCACTATATGGTCTTAGACAAGCACCGAGAGCATGGAATACAAAACTTGATGGGATTTTGAAAGGAATGAAATTTCACAAGTGCATGAAAGAACCATCGGTGTACCGGAAGAACGAAGGATCCAACTTGCTAATTTTAGCAATCTATGTTGATGATTTGTTTGTCACAGGTACAAATTTGAGCATGATCAAAAGGTTCACATTTGAAATGTCCAAGAACTTCGAGATGTCTGATCTTGGAAGATTAACTTACTACTTGGGCATTGAAGTCAAACAGGATGAATCGGGGATTACAATAAACCAAGAAGCGTATGCACAACGCATTCTGAAGGAAGCCGGTTTACATGATTGCAATCCTACCCACATTCCCATGGATCCAGGAACCAAAATGTCGAAGGCCGAAGATGAACCCGAAATCGACCCGACACAATACCGAAAGTTGGTAGGATGCCTTAGATATCTCTTGCAGACAAGACCCGATATGGCATATGCGGTTGGAGTTGTTAGTCGATACATGCAAGATCCAAGAGAATCACATGGTGTTGCAATCAAACACATCCTAAGGTATTTACGAGGAACAACGGGATACGGAATCAAGTACGAGAGGATGGGACAAAATCGAATAATTGGTTACAGTGATAGTAGTCATAATGTTGATCCAGATGACGGAAGAAGCACAACTGGTCATATTTTCTACTATGGGTTGTCTCCAATAACATGGTGTTCTCAAAAGCAAGATACTGTTGCTTTATCATCTTGCGAGGCGGAGTTCATGGCTGCAACTGCGGCTGCATGTCAAGCAATATGGCTTCAAGATTTGCTAGGCGAAATCATGAACAAAGCACAAGAGAAGGTGGTCCTAAGAGTTGATAACAAGTCAACTATCGAACTCACGAAGAATCCTGTTTTTCACGGAAGAAGCAAACACATTCACACGAGGTTTCACTTCATTCGTAAGTGTGTTGAAAAGGAACAAGTGGAGGTGAAGTACATTCCAGGTGAAGAACAAAAGGCAGACATTCTCACAAAACCATTGGCTCGAACCAAGTTCAAGACAATGCGGGACTTGATCGGGATTGAAGACATCTTTAGAAGGACTTAAAGATTGGCGGTGATCGGGAATCTCTAGAAGGACTTAGAGATTCGGGGGTGATTGTTGGAATCATAAGTCCTCATTTCCCTCCACCCATGTCTTCCACCCACAATAAAGGAGGGGACACCAACAAGTTGGTTGGGTCTCATACTTATTAATATAGGATTGAAATGATTAAGTCCATCCTATATATTCAGTGAATTACCAAGAGGGTAATACACAACAAAACACAGCAACATACACAGACATATATATGTAATTGGTTTTGAGTTATATTTCCAATTTTAATCAAAGAGTTAGTTTGATATATTCTTCTGTGTTTATACAATTGATATACTACAATTGTTTATACAATTGCTATACCATACAATTGTCATACTAGAAAAAATTCATTTACTACATCAGGTAAAAGGGTTGGATCTTGGAGGAATGTTTTATTATTATGTTTTGTAACAATTTAGAAAAATGAAAGTTGTGATCCAGTTGTCATTGGTTCTGTAATTTCATCTGCTTAATATGGATTTTTGAGCTGTTTGATATGAATTTTGGATTGTTTTTGCTTTCATCTTTCATTGGTTTTCAAATTTAGGTTTCTTTCAATCACTTTCTTTCTCTCCCTTCATCTATTTCAGTCACCATCGTGCACTACTTGAAGCTTGATGCAGTTGTGCCACCATCACCATTAAGAACTTTAACGGTTTTGGTTTTTTATTTGCATCTTGACAGATTTTATGTGCTGATGTTTTGCAGGAACATAAACTTATATTAGCCTATTTTTGATTTACTGGAGGATGTATACAAATATGGTATGTCAACAAAAATAGGAATGATTTTTCTTTTTGATTTTAGGTTTTTATGTTTTTGGGTTTGCTGATTTTGGGGGTTTCCAACTAGAGCTTGAATGCTTTTGGGTTTTCCTTTGCATCTTGACAGATTTTATGTGTTGGTGTTTGCAGGAACATGACAATATCTGGGTTTCCAACTAGAACTTGCTATAAAAATAATAATGTTAAACACAAATGTGTAGGTGGCTTACTATCTTCTACAACATGATTCAATGTGATTATGTTGTGCAATGTTAGTTGAACTACAATTCACTCATGCCCTTTGCCTTTGGCTTCAGGTATGCAATTGACCTTTTTTTTCCTCTAATTTTCTTAATAGTTGTTGCATATATTCTGTTTTCAGATTCGTATATTTCAAAAGGGTTACGAGAAAGACCCTGCAATTGTTGCTAAAAAGCAATTCAGGAAGCTACCTAGAACTGTTTGTAGGGTGTGGACAAACTTATACAGACTTGAATGATGTGGTGGACCAGGTATCCAAAGTTTAATCAGAAAGTAGCTAACCTCTCATCTCACCCATCCCCAGGTTGATTGATGGGATCTTGCTAATAAAGTTTGATAACATAAATGATAAGGTAATACTGGAATATATATATATATATATATATATATATATATATATATATATATATATATATATTATAAAAATAAAATAAAATATTGGTTGATTTTGTTAGGTTGGAGTTGCACTGTTGATGGTTTATATATCGGGAGCACCTATGATGTTTGTAGGGTGTGGGCAGTTTTATACAAACCTAATAAAGCTCAATGGTAACTCAATTGTCAAGACTATGCTTAAATGAGTGGTCTTTGTGTATGCTTTCTCTATTGTTTACTTTTACTTTCAGCATGTTCAATCTTGTAGCAAACATGTTAGTGATTCTGATTTGGTTTAATGTTTGAGGTGATATTGTTGTTTGTTTTATTTGGTTGTGATATTATATTTTTAAGCGCAAAATCAGTTAATTAGGTCAATTATTATTAGCTTTTTTCTCTAAGTATGTTCACTTTGAATGTGTAATTATAAAGGACTTAAATGTATTCTTTTGTATAAAAGCATTCATTCGTGAGACAATTCTTGTATGATTTCATTGCAGTTTGCACGTTTGATGTTAATTGTGCAGGAGATTGGCTGCGAACACGTGCTTCACCTCCATTCTCAAACACCATGACCGTTGGAAATAGGATCCTGTGGTTGTCAGTTATGCTTCTAATGCTGGTGGCATCCTGGATGAAAGTGGTCAACACTATGTAAGTACATTTGTCTTGACTTTTGTAGTCAACCCAATATTTTGTCTCACTTATAGATTTTGGGGATTAAAACAAACACCTTAAAAATTATTTTTTGGAACCGATACATTGAACAACATAATATCAACAAACTTTACTTAAAAGTCCAAACTTTTCTCCTTTAAAAGATATTGATTCACAGAGAGCAGGTTTCATAATCCTTAAAATAACTTCCTGGGTTAAATTGCTAAGTAAACACTTTTTTTTTTTAATAATGTTTGTGTGTATTACAACATATTAAACTTAGATTTTTTTTTTTTGCATTATTTTGGATTTCAAAAACAAATCCATATGATCATTATATTATTTAAACTATAGTTTTAAATTTGAATATTTAGATTTTTAGACGTGCTTCTATTTATATTGATTTTGATGTGAATGGAATTTTGTTTCCTTTTTAGCACTACTTGACCAATGAACAAGGACTATCGACATCAACATGATTTTGAGCTTGATTTTTAACTATTTTCGGACAGATTTGCCCTTAATGTTGGAGAATATGTAGCTTGTCAAGCTGTGCATGCCCTTAATGTTGGAAAGTATGTTGTTTTTGGACATATTTACCCTTGCCCCTGCTTCTTAATTGTTCTTGAAGTGGGCAATTTTAACCTGGTATTCTAATGTTGCTTCCAAACCCAAATCCATTTCCCGATTCCCATGAAGCATGAAGCTCCTTAATGCATTACATTTTCTACGTTATTGGCCTAGATAATGATTTTAGTGAATATACCAAAAGTAAAAGAGAGAGTGAAGCAATACTTTTTGGGTTAATACCATTTTAATTAAATATCAACGTACTTTATGAATTAATGAAAGTATATTGCTATTATTGTCCCCATGGTTTTAACTTTTATACGGTTTATGTTCTTTATGTTGTACTATACAACACCCAAATATACATTTCTCCATCACGCAAGAGGCATATGATATGAGATACAAGAAACAATGAAACAAAAATGACAAAAATATGTCTAAAACTTACTGCAGGTGTATTGCCAAAATAAAAGAAAAGACTGAATTGCTTCTCTTATATATATATATATATATATATATATATATATATATATATATATATAATATATATATATATATATATATATATATATATATATATATATATATGCCATTATAGCAGGCAAACCAACTTCACAAATTAATTTTTTTGACTAACTTTTCATTTTCAGCCCCTCTACATGTGGGTTATGTACTAAAATGACACAACTTAAATTTATCTTACATTTCAACCCGCCTAACCCAAAACTCGATTAACCCGACCCATTTGAAGAAGACAAACATGTGGTGGTGTAATTTTTTTTAAACATGTTGAAATGTTAAGTTATTTTGGAATTAACCATGTTCAATTATAACTTTGAGCACATATTATTCACTTATAAATCAATATTTATATTACATTAGACATTTTGTATGATCTTTTCGGTGATTGTTAAAAAAAAGTATAATATTACTTCTTTTCTTGATAAATTCAATTGATATAATTAATTGATAATAATATCTAATAAAAATAACCAAATTTTAAAAATGAAATTTGAAACGTTTGTAAGTATGTAGGGGATAAACCAAAAATAGATGATTAGACGCTTCACCTTTTTATAATAACATTTATTCTATTTAGAGGTCTTATATCTATGGATGGAGGTGGCTCAATTATAGAAAAAAGATTAACATGTTAAAGACTTTATTTTCAACTACTTACCATAAATACTACTTTGAGATAAATATATAGTTAAATCTCAATGGTGACCACTTAGATAAAAAATAGATAAAGTATATATCAAAAGTTATATCTTATTATATTATAATATAAACCATACTATTTCTAAAAATAGATTTAAGATGTCCAAGTGTTTAATTGCTTCTTTAAAATAAAAAAGCTCCTCTTGTGGATGTTCTAAGGTTCGTGTTATAATGCCTAATATACTTGTGTCAGGGTGTCTAACAATCATTATTTATGAAAACCATACCTGGGATTGAAATGTTAAATTTGTCTTTTTTGAATGAACTTTTTGTGACATCTATTAGTTATATTGACTTCTTTATTAGCTAAGATGCAAAAGAGATGATTAACATTAACTTTTTGTTCAATTGTATATTGATACACGCTCATTTATAAACAGTGTAAAGGCACCTCAATCAAAGAGAAAACCATTAAAAATATCATCGTTCAAAGGAAATATCCAGAATGATGAATCAGGAGCTTAGAGAAAACGGGTCAAAGTCCACAAAAAATCCGGTCAAACTCTGTTATCTCCCACAGGATCGCAAAGAAACATTGGCTGAATCACCAAAGGTGAAGAACAATCATGCAACCCCAACATCTAATATCACAGCAGGGTCTCAAGCCATACAGTAGCTCTTTAAAAGCTGGTTGACTCTGCTACGTACATCTTCTTCTTTTCACCAACTCAACTTCCAAATGGGACATTGGAGGAGACATCTGATCTGAGAATGAAATTGTGGAAACAGATGACAAAAAAAAAAAAAATCAAACTAGTGGAAGAGGACTCATTTTGAAAGCAGTTTGGAGAAACTTTTTGGGTTTAGACTTTAGATGCAACCATAAAGATATACCTGCTATGATATTGTAAGTTTGAAAGACACCCTTGTTTGTATAATGACTATTTTGCCCCTATAAATATATCTCTGATGTCTTTGGGTGAATTTGCATTTTGCAGCATACCCATGTATCTGGCAGTGAACATCAAGTATGGACCGGAAGTTGCAAAGGAACTGACTCCATTGTGGATATGTGGGCCCCTTCTTGTAGCTCTTTACATCAAGATTCTTCATGGGCTATGCTTGCTCTACATTTACAGCTTCAAGCAATCGGTGAAAGTAGTGAAGGATTTGCCTGTTTATTATGATTATGTGATTCATGAAAAGCTGAAAGAAGCCATAAATGGAAGCCTGTGGTGGAGTTTAGGAAAGGCATATGGAAAAAATTTCAAGAATGGGCAGTGGATAAGTATTTGGACTACATTGAATCCATATGGCCTCATTATTGCAAACTGATAAGGTTTTTGAAGAAGGCCAATTTCATCTAGCTTTTCATGTAATGTTTTGGAAATTGGAATAGGGCAGCTTTTTCTCTCAATCTTGGAGGATTACAAGTGAAAACAGGTTGGATTTTGTATCTCTCAACACATTGTATTTGGGTTTTATTCCAAGTCTTTGAGATTAACCATTTTTTACACAGATTTTGTATTCTCATAATGTGATGTCATGGGATATGCTTTGGCTTTTTGAATTCGTTTTCTTGTTTACTGGGATGGTTTCTTATCTGCTATTTTTGTTTCTTTATGCATTAGTAATCAGTCACAATCAGTTTAAACTTTTTTTTGAAAAGAATTGTTTTAGTAAATGTCAGTAAATACATAAAGAATGTTCATTTTGATTATAGAAACATAACATAAATGTCACTCAAAGAAACATCATATCGTTTAATATTTGATGTTAGATTTAGTTGGTATAAACCATAGGAAATAGCAACATGCTTTATATTCTACAAGTATGTATTTCCCATAACAGCAATCTATGTTTTTACTTAAAATGGCGACATACTTATGTTTTTCTTACTGATAGTAATAGTATTTAGCATGACACTTATTTTTATAAGGCTTTTGACACAAAAGTCTTTAAGTTTGGCAAATTTTCTTAGTATTGTTGATGTGACGAATTTTTGTTCGTTAATGTTCAAAATTTGCCAAGTTTTTTTTTTTTTTTTTTTTTTTTTTTTCATTTTTGCCCTTTTACATTTTTTTTTGTATTTTACCCTTAGTATGTTTTTCAAATTTGCAACAAAACCCTTAAGTTTATAAATCTCTTATGTTTTTACTCTAAGGTGTTGTTTGTTTTTTCAAAGCAAAACTTTCTGAAATCTGCGCATCACATCTGCAACCCTCTGCAATAGAAGAGGTGGACCAAACGAGTGCAGCATGTAATAAGAAGTTTGTTTATTTTTAACCTCTGCAGACTGCTGCAATAAACTGAAATTTAAATAAACTAATTTTATAAAATTAAAATAGTTTTTCAACACAAAATTTTTAATAATTTTAGTCTTACAACACTTCTTGCCATTCTAACTTCAGGTTTAAATTTTTCTAATTATTTTCTATGTAACCTGATTTTTTTTAAACTTAAAACATGCTTATACTGGTATAGAAAAAGTTACGTGGAAAATAGAATGTTGATTGAAAAAAAAAATCTACAGAAATTACAATTAAGTGCTATAAGTAAGATGATATAATAAAGTTTCACATTCAATTTATATTAAAAACAATGGAAGTTATATATTTTACTTATTTATTATTTAATAAAGCAATATCTTTTATTTTTATTTATTTATTTATTATTATTATTATTATTTTTTAATAAAGCAATATTAATCTCTAGAAGGTGTCCATTCCTTTTACTAAAAAAATGGAAAGTCGCAATTTCTAGATTTAGAAACAAACACTAAGTCAAAACTTAAGCTTAAATTTGTGATTGTGTAAAAAGAAAAACAACTCATTTCCTTTCATGGTGCGACTATTAACATATAAATACAACTATACAACAAGATCATTAACTAAGTTTTATAAATTAGCTTTATTACTTGAAAGGCGGTAAAAAATGAGCACAACAAAACAAATATTTTTTGTACGAATTAGATTGATCGACACAAAATAGTATATAATATGCTAATATCATAAATAAGCTAATATTCTCAATAAAACACTTATAAGTTATAAGCATCAAAATAAACTTGATCCATTCTCATCTAGTTACTTTGTTGCCAATATATTGGGCTAATCACTTATGAACACAAGGAAGTAGCTTTCTTTTTCAACTTATGTAGTTACTTTCAATCCGCAACCAATTTATACAACTAATGCATAACAAATTAAAGCTTGACTAAATAAATTAATGGGTTAATGTCACTCTTGCGTAACGAACTTTCTTAAATTGATTTAAATGGTCCCTCAACTTATTTTTTGGCTTTCTAAAGGCATAATGTGGATGCATCTCCTTATTTGGTACTTGAACTATGTGGTTATGTATTTTGGTTATTTGGTTATGTTATTTGGTACTTGAGTTTTATTTTATGTTATTTGGTACCTGAGTTTTATGTTTTTTTATTTGGTACTTGTGTTGATTAATAGGTTCCTAATGGACTACGACAAAAAAATACTTCTCATAATTCTAATGTACTTTTACGTCCGCTGCTTTTGGAAGAGGGGTGTGAAACGAGTACGGGACAACGATTCGGAAATGACGGGACATGAATTTACGTTAGAGTTACTTCAGCGTAATCCTCTACAATGTGTTGAAGTACTACGCATGTCTCGTGAATCATTTGTCCGACTATGTGCGCATTTTAGAGTAAATTACGCGTTAAAGGATAGCAAACATGTATCAGTTGAGGAAAAGATGGCTATGTTTTTTATGATAATCGGTCATAACCAACGATACGTGATTATCAAGCGGAGATTTCAACACTCAAAGCAAACAATTCATAAATTTTTTCATGAAGTGTTGGACAAAATGTTGCTTTTCGCACATGACATTATAGTACCAACTTCTTTTAATCCGAATCCAAACATTACGGGACATAATAGGAGGCTACGGCGGGTGTTCAAAGGAGCAATTTGTGCACTTGATGACACTTTGATACATGTTGTTGTCCCCGCAAACAAACGGGATTTATATAGAAGTAGGGGAAAAGGCGATTGTTACCAAAACGTATTGACAATATCTGACTTCAACATGATGTTTACGTTTGTTGTGGTCGGTTGGGAAGGGATAACACATGATTCTAGAATTTTATCAGAAGCATTAGCAAATCCACATGCACCATTCCCGTTTCCACCATCAGGTAAATTTATGGTTATTTAAATAGTTTTATCTTAGTTTGAAAAATAAATGATTTTTTTTGTTTTTTTTACAGATAAATATTATCTTTGTGATGCCGCCTATGCAAACATTCGAGGTTTTATGGCACGGTATCGTAATGTGAGGTATTGGCTTGGAGATTTTCGTCGAAGATGTGCATTAACGAATAAAGAAAAATTTAACCATGCACACGCAAAACTGTGGAATGTCATTGAGCGTGCTTTTGGTGTCTTGAAAGCACGATTCCCTATATTGAAGAGGATGTCACCATTCTCGTTTGTTACACAACGAAACATTACCCTTGCATGTTTCGCGCTTCATAATTTTATAAGAAGAGAGGGACTACGTGATGAGTATTTTGCACGATATGATGAACCAAATGTCTCGGTTCGGAATAACAATGCAGTCATTGATAATGATGAAGATGAGATTCCAACACATGGTACTGCAGCGGACCGTGAATATATGACACAGTTACAGGATGAAATTGCCGAACAATTGATGCAAAATATGGAATGAGAATTATTAAAGTTTGGTTGTATGAATTTTTATTTTAAAATGTTATTGTAAGACTAATTTGGTTGTTTGAATTTTATTTCAATATTTTAAGACTACAATTATTAAATTTTTGGTATTAAAAACTATTTTCGGTTTATTAAATCACTTTATTTTAAATTTTTTAATATCTGCAGCAGCCTGCAGATGTTAAAAAAACAAACACGCTTCTCATTACAGTCTACAGCCGTTTGGTCCACCTCTTCTGCTGCAGATGACTGCAAAAGTGGTCCGCAGACTTTAGACAGTTTGACTTCGGAAAAACAAACAGCACCTAAGTGAAAAAATCTCAAGTAAATTGTTAGAAAACTTGACTACTATACCTAAAAATTTTACAACAAAAAAATTGTTTTATTCATTTAATTTGTTAAAGATAAAAACAATCCAACTCAACTCATTTACTAAATAAAACAGCCAAAACCGCAACCACTAATCTCATTTATTTAACATATATATATGAATCATTTCCTTTGTTATTTTTCTTTTGAACAACCAACCTAAACACCCTTTAATCTGCTCCTAAGCTACACCGGAACTTGAACCATGAATTTATTACAGGCCCTTTGGACTTTGGTATTTCCTTCTGTTAGATCTCAATCCAGCTAACCCCGCGAACTTTCCTCTTACCCACATCATCTAATTCATCCCTCAATTTTTTCACATCATCCCACCTTCCATTTCCAGCAAGCATATTAGAAACCATAATTTTGTAGTTGCTTCTCTCTTGTTCACCTTCAAGGAGTCGCTTACTCACAATCTCTGCCATTTTCGAATCATTATGCGCATCACAGCAAGAAAGAAGTGCACCCCAAATACCAGAATCAACATGCTCTCCCAACGAGTTAACAAGCTCATAAGCCTCATCTAACTCCCCAGCCATACCAAGAAGCTTCACAAAATGAACATAATGTTCGGTCTTTGCTTCAATGCCAAAATCGTCCCTCATTCTTCTGAAAATGTCTCGACCTTCTTTAAGAAGACCACCATGAGAGCAAGCAGATAGTAGAGCAGTGAAAGTAGATTCATCAGGTTTTAGACCTCGTTCAAGAACCTCATGAAACACTTCAAAAGCCTCGGATGCAAGTCCGTATAAACCAAGACTTGCTATGACTGAATTGTATGAAACTATGTTTCTCTTAGGCATTTCATCGAACACCTTGAGTGCCAAGTCCAAAAAACCACATTTTGAGTACATGTCTATCAATGCAGAAGACACCATGACCTCTGAATGTAGGCAATGGCGTATGGCATAGCCATGCAGCTCGACACCTGGTGCCAAAATGACCAATTGTGAAGTTACAGCCAGTAAAACGGAGACAAGAACGGAGTCTGGCTTTTTACCATAGGAGTTCATTTTCTTGAAAGAAGTTAAGGCGTTATGATACTCTCCAGATTGTGAAAACCCAGATATTAAAGCAGACCATGTTACTAAATCGGGATGCGATAAACCGCTAAATACTTTATAGGCTGAATTCATACAACCACATCTTGAGTACATACTAACAAGGACACTACTTATGTGTATGTTAGAATCAAACCCGCTTCTCAAACAATAACCATGGATTCCTTGGCCGATTTCCAGCAAACTAGAACATGTTAAACCCGATAATAACCCTACCACTGTATACCCATCGGGTTGATTTCCAATTCTTCTCATCATAATAAACAAATTTAGGGCTTTCTCCCAGTACCCACAAGATCCATAACCTGTAATCATTGTGTTGTGTAAAACCAAGTCATGGTTCTTTAGCCTATCAAAGACCATTCTTGCATCATCAACGAGGCCAAATTTAGAGTAAGCTGACACAAGTGCACTAGCAGTAATGGAGTCCAATCCCAAATCAGAAACAATTACTTGCCTGTGCACAAGCTTAAGAGCTTCAAGATTGAGTTGTTCGGAACAAGCACGTAAAATGCAAGCAAGTGTGAAATTATCGGGCTTTGTTTCCGAGGCTATCATTTGTTTGAAGAGTGTAAATGCATCAAGAAAATAATGGGTTTAGGCGTAAGCTCTGATGATGGAATTCCAAAGGTAGACATTTCTGTTAGGAGTTTCATCGAACAGGTTACAGGCAGATGTGAGGTCATTATTGATTCCATAAAACCTGATGATTTTAGTTGCGTAAAATGGGTCATGGAAAAGGCAGGTCTTAATTAGTAAAGCATGAAATGATTTGGTTCTCGAAAGGGTGTGATTTAGCTTTGAGAGTTCAAATACAAGCGACTTAAAATGAACCAACATCAAGTCATTGTCCCCTTCCAACTCAACCTGTGCATTTTATGAAACCACATCATACATAGAGACTCGAAATGCAAACCACAATCAACAACAGAGTACTAATTTTGCTAATTGCCTAACAGTTTTGACAATACTAAAAGGGAAAATACCACAAAAGACACTAAGTTTACATCAAAATTCTAATTATAACAAATTGGAAAACACAGCGTCAAATTTGAGACAAAATAAAACAGTGTCAAATTAGAATTTTTGTGTAAACTTACTGTCTTTTGTCAGTTTTGTGCTATTTACCTATACTAAAACTCAAATGAATTGAATATCATAGAGATTACGAGAGCTATCTGTATGCTTCAAATACGATTTGTAGCAGTAGCGTGTAACAAATGATATTATTAGAACTTTAAATGAGAATCAATGATTAATTAGTGGGAATGATTGTAGATTAGACGCACGGATGATGATCGCGTGGGTGGGTTTACTTGTTAAAAAGCAATATTATGAAATTTGTTCTTGGAAAGTACGACTAAAACAGTCAAAAAATGCAGCAAAGTATAAAATTTTGATCTACCTTGTTGGTTCTGCATCTACAGAACTTATTGCCAATATTGCCCTTTGCCCTTTTAAAGCAGTTGAGGTTCGTGTCCAAACAAATCTAGGATTTGCCAGGGGTTTCCCAAATGGCTTCCCAAAGTTCATCAATGCTCAAGGCACTACAGGGTAATAAACCAAATCATGGTTCACAATATAAGACTCAAATTTGATATCACATATACAAAAGCATAATATTTGACACTTAATCTTATTAGAGTTACATATAAAGAGTTAAGTGCTACAATAATTATTGGTTAGGACCATTTCTATTGTTTCTGTGATGGTTTTGGATCCTATGAATCAGCTATTCACTTTCAAGTTAGAATATCAACTTTCAGATATCCATGTCCCTTCTATCATGTAAGTTTACTATTCCTCTTCTATCATGTAAGTTTACTATTCGTTTAGCTTTAGCAATAATGACATATATATGTTAGGGAAAATGTTAAGTGGTAAAATCATAATAGTCTAACAAGATAATCTGAAACAGTATTAAATCAATAAAAATATAATCTGGATTGGAAACATAAATAAAAATCAATCTTTTATTAATTTAATTAAGGAGATAAATATTTTATAGGATAATCATCTACAAAACGCATTTTTAAATTTCTGAATTTGAAGTTTTGATAACTGGAAAATATTCCAGGTAACCGACAATTTATTCTAGTATTCCATCGATTCTCCTGCTGATTAAACAAGTAAGTTTTTTTTTTTTTTTTTGTATTTATTTTCTTTAAAAAAATAAAAAGAATAAGAAAGAAGAAGTGCGGGTCTTTTACGTTCAATCACACCATTGTTTTATGCCATTTATCTCTTGATTCACTCCTCATCTTGAATAACCGATTGTATCAGGTATGTTATTTTTTTATTCAATCCAAATCTTCAAAATGCATATCAGTAGATAACAACAGTAGATAGTTAGAATTAGAGAAACGATAGAAGAAAGAAAGAGAGGTATATGGAGCATACAGATAGAATTGATTCAGTTATTTAAATTTAATTTCAATTATATTATTTTGTGTAGAAAAATAAAATTGACAATAAATTTAGTTCCGTAGCACCCATAGATAAGCTTAGTGAAAAAAGCTTTAGTGGAACTATGTTGAGGTTTTTGGGTTGTTGAGTTGGCACTGATGTGGCTCGAAAAAAGCTTTACAATTAGCAGTCATATCCAGCATAGACAGTGTAAATTTTGAAAGGTCAATATTATGAACGTGTAGAGATAAGTACTCACCATAAAGAACATCTATGCTTCAACAATATAATATCTGTTCTCTTAACAATTGGAAATGCTGCTAAAAATCGATCCCTTTCTTCAAAGATAAAGGTCTTGGAGGAGCATATGAACCCTTCAAAGGCAAATATAACGTATCCATTATTTATTCATTACTCTCACAAACAATTCATTCATACATCCAATTCCTAATCTTAACATATGCAGGCAGTATAAAAAGTAGTCAGAATTTCTTTTACCTGAATTGGTGGGTTACTAATGCCATTATGCCCTTCCAGTTTACCCTATCATTTATGCAGCAGCATCATACATAGCACCTGGAAATGCAATAATTGACTAATATCAGTTGAAGAAATCCACAAGAAACCATTGGAGGTCTGTTCAGGTACATGCTCAATAAAACACAACTCTAGCACGAATCACCTATTTAATCAAAGAACATCCTACTAGTTCCAAAATTGTCAAACTAAATAAAAAATGGGGACATAGCGTTACCATTTAATTCATTTCATTAGAATGAATGAAAATAGAGTCGCAAAGCAAAGAAATTTCACCCTTCTATATTACCTTTTTCCATATAAAACATGGAAAATTTAACTAATTCCCAAAACCCAGCAATATCGAGCTATACCTACCAACCTTCATGAAATTAAAACGAGAAACTAGCCAAACACAATCAACCAGAGAGTATTAATTTTACGAATTGCGTCAAAATCCCTACAACTTGACCGACTTGAAATCATAGAGCAAAAGAGAGCTAACTGTATGCAGAAGAAACGACTTGTAGCAGTAGCTGCTAGGATTGATGATTAAAATTGTCTTAATTGAGAAGCGATGACGAATTTGTGTGAATGATTGTAGAGTAGACGCACGGAGGATTGGGTGGGTGGGTTTACTTGTATGAAAAGAGTCCACGAAACATTAGGGTGGACTCCTACAAAGAAACGAAAGGTTTATCTCTTATCTTCAATTGGAGTTTTGGGAGGAAAGATTAGGATAGATAGAGAAGATGATGAAAGTGGTGGAAAAGAACGTCAAATCGGGGTCAAAATTAAGGTTTTAAGGTATTTTTTTCCCAATTATTTTAGAGAAGGATAACGACTTAAAAAGGTAATGTATTTTTTGATTTGTACACATTTGGTCACTGAGTTTTTTTTTCGTCCATATTTACCCCTTCAACTTGTTAAACTGTACACATTCAGTCCTTATGACCGGTTACTCCAGGTTAGTCGGGAAAAATGACTTAATAGGGTAATATATTTTTCATTTTGTACACATTTAGTCCTTAATATTTTTATACATATTTAGTCCTTAACTTTTTTTTTGTTTCAAAATAAGTCATTTTTTGTACTCATTCAATACTTATGAATGATTTATTTAGTTTTTTCTCACGACATCTTACGTGGGAAAATGATTGATGAGGTGTTTGGGGTTGTTGATGTTTATGTACAACTTGATCTCGACTGTTTGGTTGCGTAGGTCTTGTGGTTTGGCTTAGGTCTTGTATTTTGAAGATCGTTTACAATATCAGATTTTAACGATCTTTATATCCACGTGTTCATTTTTTTGAGTCTACTACAACTTTCATTAAGATTACTCCGGTTAAAATCTAATATATTTTTACTTACGATTTTATAAAAAAAAACATGCATACATGCATTCATAAAAAAGGTATGGACAGGAGCAGACGCAGAAATACATAGTAGGTATTGCCGAGATGAAATAGATGTTGCCGATATATGAAAAATAGGTATAAACGAAAAAAAAATCAAAATTTTTTCCACCGCGAACAAAAGAAAAAAAACAGATGTTGTCGGTGCAACACCGGGACCATGCTAAATCCGCCCCGACGTATGGATATAAAAATCGTAAGTAAAAATATATTATTTTTTTAATGTGAGTAATCTAAATGAAAAGTAGACTAAAATATGAACGCATGGATATAAAGATCGTTAAAATTCAAGATCGTATGAAGAAGTTATGACGTTCAGACTACATGACCTAAGCAACCAAGTAGTCGAGATCACGATAGATATAAGCATCAAAAGCCACATATACCTCATTAATGAATGTCTCACATAAGATTTCGTGAAAAAAACCTAAAGAAATCATTCATAAGTACCGAATGAGTACAAAAAAATGACTTATTTTGCAAAAAATAAATAAATAAATAAATAAATAAAGACTAAATATGTACAAAAATATTAATGACTAAATATATACAAAGTGAGAAATATATTACCCTATTAAGTCATTTTTACCGGGTAACCTGGAGTAGCCGGTCATAAGAACTGAATGTATACAGTTTAACAAGTTGAAGGGGTAAATGTAGACGAAAAAAAAACGCAGTGACCAAACGTGTACAAATCGAAAAATATATTATCCTTTTAAGTCATTATCCCTTTAGAGAATTACAAGAGGATAAAAGTGATGGCGGTCGTTATATGTTATGTTGTGATTTTGAACATTTGCCACATAACATTTTGTATATTACACTTCTTGCCCTTCTAACTTTAGGTTTAAATTTTCTATATGTTATGTTGTGATTTTGAACATTTGCTACATAATATTTTCTATATTACACTTCTTGCCCTTCTAACTTTAGGTTTAAATTTTCTAATTATTTTCTATGTTACATGTTTTTTTTATAAATTAAAACATGTTTCTACTGGTATAGAAAAAGTTATGTGGCAAATAGAATTTTGATCGAAAAAAAAAATCAACATAAATTACAATTAAGTTTAAATTAAAAACAATGGAAGTTATATATTTTACTTATTTATTATTTAACGAAGCAATATTTTTTATTTTTTTATTATTTTTTTAATAAAGCAATATTAATCTCTAGAAGGCCTCCATTCCTTTAAATGAAAAAATTGGAAAGTCACAATTT